TAGATAGTACTGTGTGCAGCATGCAACACACAAGTAGATAGTACTGTGTGCAGCATGCCAGGCAACTGCCAAGTATGCCAAGTGGCAAATGAAAAACCAAAACCGCAATTTGAACAGTCGTATCAAACAGCTGAAATACTGCTTATGTTATTGAAACTCATGATTCTGTCAAACTGAAAACGTACTTAAGATAAATTCTGACCCATTTTTACCTACTTTGATTTTTTTATACTGTCCTACCTTGTGACCTTGCAGAGCTTACTTATTAGTTTTAGTGGTTACTTTTTAGACTGTTAATGATTTTTCATATAGACAATCATATTTCATGTAAACAATCATGCAGAGACATTTTTACTTTTATATCCAATTTCATACTTTTAAAATACCTTATTGCACTAAAATCTCCAGTAAAATGTTGAATGTAAGTGGTAAAAGTATACTATATATTCTTGCCTTGTTGAAACTTATAAATGGAGCAGGTAACGTTTTCATTTAATGTAATTATCATCACATTCAATATAGGTTTATCTCTTGGATATTTGTTTTCATTACACCTAATTGTTTTCTCCTTTTCTGATCTTTTTTTTGGCTTAATCAAATGTTTTTAGAATTTCACTGTACTTAAACTACTCACATTTTAGATATTCTTCTTTTTATAATTTTATAACGGTTGCTCTATGGATTACAATAAGCATTGCATAATTTATCACAGACTACTTAGAGTTACTGTTGCTCTACTTCATGTAAAATATAATAACCCTACAACCATAATTTCATTTACCCCATTCTGTCCTTTGTTCTACTGTTGTCAAATATACTATATCTACATACATTATAAATGGCACAATATAATGTTGAAATTTTTGCTTTTAAATAAATTAAGAGAAAATATATAGTCTTTTAAAATTTACCCACATATTTACCAGTTGTCTTAACACAGTGATCATTAATGGAGGGAAACCTACCGGGGAAAGGACAAAGATGTGGCTAAATATCCTGCAATGCACAGAAGAGCCCAAGCCCTCCTTAAGACAGAACTACCCAGCCACAAATGTCAACAGTGCCAAGGATGAGAAACCTGTCTTAAGATAATGTGCACTGTTTTTTATCTGTTTGCTTTCAAGAGTATCTCTTTATAACTAGTTTTCAGTATATTGACTATAATGTGCCTAGGTAAAATTTTCCTTTTATTTATCCTGATTGCAAAGGGTGTCTGAGCCTATCAGATCTGTAAGTTTTTTTGAAGCAAATGTGGAAAATTTTGGACCATTAATTCCTCAAAATTTTCATGCCCCATTATCTTTCTCCTCTTCTCCTGGGACTCAACTTACATGTATTTTAAACTGCTTGATATCTTCCTGAGATCCCTGGGTTTTTTAAAAAATCTGTTTTCTCTGTTCTTCAGATTGAATTCTTTCTTTTTTCTTTACCGTTATTGAACTTTTTTCCTGCTTTCCCCAATATTCTGCTATGGCCATCCAGTGTATCTTTTATTTCAGATATTATGGTTTTCTGTTCTAGAATTATTCAGTTATTTTTTATAGTTTATATTTCTTGGCAGACATTCCTTACCTGTTCATTATGACTTTATTTTCCTTTAAGCTCCTGAACATATTTATTTATTTATTTTGAGACAGAGTCTCACCGTGTTGCTCGGGCTAGAGTGAGTGCCATGGCGTCAGCCTAGCTCACAGCAACCTCAAACTCCTGGGCTCAAGCGATCCTTCTGCCTCAGCCTCCCGAGTAGCTGGGACTACAGGCATGAACCACCATGCCCGGCTAATTTTTTCTATATATTTTTAGTTGTCCAATTAATTTCTTTCTATTTTTAGTAGAGACGGGGTCTCGCTCTTGCTCAGGCTGGTTTCGAACTCCTGAGCTCAAACAATCCGCCTGCCTTGGCCTCCCAGAGAGCTAGGATTACAGGCGTGAGCCACCGCGCCTGGCCTTCCTGAACATATTTATAATAGCTGCTTTATAGTTGTCTACTAAGACCCATATCTGGATCACCTTCGGGTCAGTTTCTACTAATTTACCTTTTTTTTTCCCCCTACTAATTTACTTTTTCTCTCAATTGTGAGTTGCACTTCTTGCTTCTTCAACTATCTAGCAATTTTTGTTTGCTGGATATATTATCTTCCCCCAACAAGTGTCAATCTTTGTTCCAGACGGAGTTAATTTTGCTCCTTCACACTCCAAAAACTCTGTTTCCTCTGTGCTGGAGATTAAAAGAATCTCTTCTCAGTTCTTTCAGCCTTTCGGCTGTTGTTTTCTACCAGGTCCCCTGGAGACACCCTCACACAAATGTAGTTCAGAGATCAGCCAAGTAGACTTTGAGGCTCCTTCCTATGAAACACCCTCTTTTCCAGTATCTCCCCCTTTCTTTACAGCCTTGCTGACAGTCCTGAACTCTGTCCTCTGACTCCTCAAGCCAGTAAGACGACAACTTTCTGCAAAGACTAGGGAGTGATGTTAGGCAAAAAGCCGCAGAATCACAAATCTCATAGAGGGAAGCTTTCCTGTTTCAAGGGCTAATTCCCCTTCAGTTTCTGCCTGCTGCTGATCATTCTCCAGGGCTTTCGAATAGTTGTTTTTCTGTCATATTTAGTTCAGTTTTAATAATGGTTATCTGTAGGGAGATAGTACAATATAAGCAGCTTCACCAATACTGGATATGCCAATGTGGATTTTTAAATGTGACAGTTTCACTGGAAATAAAGATTATTTTATCTATCGATGCCTTGGCACATTCATTTCTCCTAATCTGTATGCGTAGCAGCTGATAGTTTCTCTGAGACATTACTTCCATGCCTGAAGAAACTTCTCCATGGTATAATGAAAATGGAGGCTTTGGAATCAAGAAGTTATTGACTAACTGTAGGAACTTAGAAAGATTACTTTTCCCTTTATGCTTCTCCACTTGTATTACTGAGGTGGTGATTTAAATCTCACAGGGTTGTTAGAAATAGTAAATGCCTACATTGCCAAGCATATAGCAAATGTTAAGAAGAAAACAGAAACTGTTGGTTTTGTTCCCTTAGATCTCTTCCTCCATTCCAGCAGTGGAAACAGATGGAATTCCTAACATGTGACCACCTTTTTCTAGTTACTTTATTCCATTAGTAACATTTAATTAAGATTACTTTATAGGATGAAAGAACACGAGAGAGAGAAGAAATCTCACTTTATGAGCAAGCATGAGGTAGAAGCAAGGACTGTCGAAGGGGACACTGAACCCAACTCCTCCACTGTATCTCTGGGCAAGCAGGTGTAGAGGCAGGAGGACACTTGCAATGCAAACGCCATCACTATCACAGACTTTCTCCATGTGTCAATGAGTCTTTCTATGGATATGTTAAATATACGATAAATCACAGTAATCTAAAAAGCAAAACTGCTAAAAAAAAAAAAAAAAAGGACTAATTTCAAAAGTGAAATAAAAGGTCAGTGCAAAAATTAGTTTTTAAAGCTTAAATCATACATTTAACTTAAGTTTTAAGAATTTATTGTGCTTCTCCTGTTTATAAATTTTGTTCCTTGTAAAGAAACAAAAAAATTGGAATTATACAGGACTATATTTTGTAAATTTTATAAATTAACAATAGATTATGAAAAATTTACCATGTGTTTACATTTTGTTTTACATGATTTTTAATAATGGCTTTTTATTGACTGGTGTAAATATGCCATAAGTTGTTTACTCAGTCTTATGAACTGTCTGGAAATTTAGGCTGTTTCTAATACTCACAACTATTAATTATTCATAAATAATTTTACAGATCTCCAATAATTCCCTTGGCTTTTGTCAGCTGTAAAGATAATCAGGATACAATTAATGTCCTTATCTAAGTCATTACTTAAAATGTTAACTAATAGAGGAATAAAGAAGGAATCTTATGAAACAACATGAGAGAATGCCTTTCACACTGCATCAATTCATGATCACTGTCCTTTAAATATAGGTATGTTGTCACCTAATTACATCATCTTCCGACCATATTTTTCCATCTTGTCTGAGGTATATAAGAGACTTTATTATATATTTCACTAATACCTGGCTGCACCATTTTAAAGAATTTGACCTGTGTTTCTAATACCCTATCATAAAAGCATAATCAGGCATCAATTATTCTAAGTGAATTCATAGTGGTTTTCTTTTATAAGTTATGAGATACAGATGAGGCAAACACAGAGTTGCTCCAAGGAAATCAAAGTGGAGGCCCTGCTCCAACAAACAGGATAGAGCTGAGAAGCTGACTGCTCTCAGAAAAAAGAAAGAATCAGAACTGCTAATTATAAAACTCTCATGATTCCATAATCACAGACTGCTAACATGATATATACTCTCAGCTCAAGCTACTGAGTTAAGTTGAAGAAGAAAGAGCCAAAGCAAAATTGACATACTTAAGTAATGACACAGTACATCTTTTGAATATAATGCTTTCATGTTATTGATTGACTGGTTTAAAAGTTAGCACAGTAGTGCCTGTAAATATCATCATTTTTCTACATCTATGAGCAGTAGTGAAGAACAGAGGCATTCCCTTGGGTTTCTTAGGTTTACACTGGTGTAAACCAGAGGTTAGTAGAGTTTTGCTATAAAGAGCCAGATAGTAAATATTTAATCTTGCAGGCCACATAGTCTTTATTGAAACCCCTGAACTCTTTTATTGTGGCATGACAGCACCATGGATAATGTGTAAATGAATGGACACGGCTGTGTTACAATAAAATTTTATTTACAGAAACAGGTGGTGGGCTGAATCTGCTCTGTAGGCTGAAGTTTGCTGACTACTAGCGTAAATATCTAATGCAAAATGATACTAAACAATCTCTTGAACACATTCCCAAATTTCAAATGGTGAGCAAGAAATATTGTATAGATCAGTGCAATTTCACTTTCCTATGATAGTATCACAGGAATAACAATTTCATATTCAGTGAACTCAATATATAGTTGAATCAATTTTTCTACATATCAGAACCTGATAATCATTTACCTGTGCATAATCACTGAAAGGTGGAGAATAAGCGATGCACTTTTCCAATGCGTGTTGTGATTCATTTCCCTGAGAGATTGCATCCAGAATGTTGTTTGCAATTCCAGTCTTATGAAGAAGAGTGGTTTTACTTGCGGAGGCTAAAGGCAAAATCAATACGTTTGTTTTATTTAGGTTATTTTATTTTATTATAAACAGAGTGCAAAATTCATCAACTCACCATATTTGCAAATAAAAAACAAATTTTAGTTTGCCAATATATATCTCTATTTATTTTCCCCAGGGGAAAAAATATGTATAGTATATGATATTGTCTCATTCATCCAAAACAACTAAAAGTAAACACTTGTCCTATGGGTAAATAATTTTGATGGAAACATTTAAAATAATATATGTCTAATCTTTAAAACAAGGCGTACAAAATGTAAATTAACCATTCTTGTAAATGCAATAGTTGTCACCATAAATTTTTAGACCAGATCAATATATAATAGGTATGTTAGAGGCACATTTAAATTTTTTTCTGGCTGTTAAAAAAACTACAAATTAATGTTTGGGTTCAAGGAGACTTCATAAAATAGAGGATGTATATTAAAAATGAAATTGAGCCAGGCATAGTGGCTCACGCCTGTAATCCCAGCACTTTGGGAGGCCAAGGTGGGAGGATCACTTGAGGCCAGGAGTTCTAGACCAGACTGGGCAACATAGTGAGACCCTGTCTCTACAAAAAATAAAAAATTAGCTGGGCGTGATGGCATGAGCCTGTAGTCCCAGTTACTTGGGAGGCAGAGGCAGGAGGATCACCTGAACCCAGGAATTTGAGATTGCAGTGAGCTGTAAGGATGCCACTGCACTCCAGCCTGGGCAACAGAGACCCTGTCTCAAGGGGAAAAAAAAGAAAAAGAAATTCATCTTCCATATCTTTTCATTCAACCCTATTCTTCTTCACATAGGTAACAATTTAGAATTTATTTTCTCGGATTTACTTTATGCATTTACATACCCAAATATGTACATGTGAGAATATACAGCTTTAAATAAACATATATGGAGTAATTATATGCATACATTTGCTTTTTCTACTTAAAAATATGCTTCAGAGATCATTTCATGTTAGTATACATAGATATCCCTCAATTATAAAAATAAATTACAAAGTATTCCATTTTATGATGAACTATTCATTTATTTAACCATTCTCCTATTGATAAACATTAAGGTATTTTCCAGTTTTTTACTATTGACAAGCAATGTTTCAGTGAAAATCCTGTGCCTAGAGCACATCACATTTGTGAGTTTCTCTTCAAACTATATTTCAACAAATAGTTGGTTCACAGTAAGTGGAGGCCTGATGGGGTCCTCCAAAAAGTAAACGAGAATTCCATTTCTGCCAATTATTAGTAGTTCATACGTTTGGGGAGTATCCAAATACTCTGGATATATAATACTGGTTTAAGCCTCTGGTTTAGAAATATGATTCTGTATGTGTTGTAAAGAATTACAGTATTGCCAAATAATTCCTTTGTCCAATTACTTTCAATCGTGATTCCATAACAATTTGATAAATTATGTTCTCAATAAAAATATCATAAAAGATTTTGTCCTTAATAAAATAGTACACATTTTTTAAGTGTCTTAATTTTAATTATTCTTTCAACTTAAATAATTTAGGCCTTAGGTAGTCATTATTTGCTTTCATTAACTTAAAAATTAAAGTAAAACTAATTATGGAAAGCATTCAATAAAACTTCAAAATATGAATACTGAGCCTTCACTTACATGATAAGCACACACTGGGCAACACACTTGCCAAATTCAAGTATGGATTTTTACTGAGCCGAATTTCTTTTGGTGGTTCTCCCAACAGTGAAGTCTGATTCTTAGAGGCAGCCTGTTACCAAAAACAAAGAGGTGGTGCTTAATAAGAGGTATAAGAAAATCAAACTGCAGAAAGAACAGAGAAATATTTATTTTTCAATAAATTTAGCCTAGTGTGATAAAATTTTGTGGAGCCTAATCTTTGATGATATAAACTTATGAAATACTTATGGAGGTTGACTAAAATTACCACATTTCACCTATTAATTTTTCAATTAGTTTTTTTTTAATTAACTATTCTAGAACCGCAGAACTTTAGAACTGAAAGAGAATTAAAGGCCATTTTGTACAACCTTCTTACTTGAACCAGAAAAGAATTCATCTTCACAAGGAGAAACAAATTCTATATCTCATTTCCAGAAATACTGTTATCAACATTTTTATTAAGGTTTTTATTTTATATTTTATGGCCACGACCAAATGATAAAAGCAAACCTTATTTATCTCTGGTACTAAATATCAAACAAAATAAACGAGTTTAATAAACTCCAACTCCACATTTAGATGATAATGCTAGAAATTCATATTTCCTAAAAATATATAAAATATGATGTCAGTATATTTTTATATAACTAGTTAGGTGTAAGGATTCTAATACAATTGACCCTTGAACAACATGGGGGTTAGGGAGGCTGACCTCCTTGCACAGTGGAAAATCCACGTATAACTTTTTTTTTTTCTTTTTTTTTGAGACAGAGTCTCACTGTGTTGCCCGGGCTAGAGTGCCGTGGCGTCATCCTCGCTCACAGCAACCTCAAACTCCTGGGCTCAAGTGATCCTCCTGCCTCAGCCTCCCAAGTAGCTGGGACTACAGGCATGCACCACCACGCCCGGCTAATTTTTTCTATATATTTTTAGTTGTCCAATTAATTTCTTTCTAATTTTAGTAGAGACGGGGTCTCGCTCTTGCTCAGGCTGGTTTCAAACTCCTGAGCTCAAACAATCCGCCCGCCTTGGCCTCCCAGAGAGCCACATATAACTTTTTGCTACCCGAAAACTTTACTACTAATAGCCTACAGTTGACCAGAAGTCCTATTGATAACGAAGTCGATTAACACATACTTCGTAAATTACATGTATTATATACTGTATTCTTACAATAAAGCTAGAGAAAAGAAAATATTAAGAAAATCATAAGGAAGAGAAAAGACATTTACAATACTGTACTATATTTATCAAAACTGTAAGTTTACTTCATCTATTTATATCAAGATGAAGTGTCTATTTGAAATGGTGGGGCACCATAGCTGCAGATCTCAATCTACCATACATATCAAACAATTTTCTCTGCTTCTTGGGAGTACTTTCAACATCGTTAGTGGCACTTTGTATGAGTCCCATGGTGTTATTCAAGGTTTACAGTATTGCACTAAACACAATGAAAAATACGTGAGAACTGTAAGAAATCACTTTTTACTGCAATAAGCAATATATTGAAGAAACAAACTGCTCAGAGATGATTAGTATCACATGGAATTTTAGCATTTTAAGCAGATAACTGCAACACTTCAGCTCGCTGCAATAGCAACAGGCTATTACAGTGGCTATGAAATTATGACAGTAGTACAGTATGTACTACAGTTAATTTTATGCAGTTGTGATTTAATAGTGCATCTTTATGTTTACATTTCAAGTGTAAATGGTGCCATGCACAGTCTGTTTGTGTGCATTTAAGTTTTGATAAGTTTTAACCTTCCGTGATAGAGTTGTGTATATTTATGGTAGTAAATATACTTGTATCTATGTATGATAAACTATACTAGTATCTACATGTATTTTATGCATTCATGACATACACCTTTTTCTGAATTTTTTGATATATCTAGGCTACGCAATTTGTTTGCAAGTTTTTCCACATTGTTGCAAATCTCAAAAAAAATTTTCCAAAATATTTTTGAAAAAACTCCACATAAAAGTGGACCTGTGCAGTTCAAACCTGTGTTGTTCAAAGGTCAACTATATATATAGGAAAATTTTAAAACTCAACAGCAACAAAAAAACTGAACAACCAGATTTAAAATGGGCAAGGATTTTAATAGACATTCTTCCAAAGAAAATATCCAGATGGTCAACAAGCACATAAAGAAAATGTTCAACATCATTAATCATTAGGGAAATGCAAATCAAACCCAAAATAAGATACCACTTCAAACCCATTAGGATGGCTAGTATTATAGACGAAATATTTGTGTCCCCCCCAAAATGCATATGTTAAAATCCCAACCCTCAATGTGATGGTATTAACAGGTAGGGCCTTTGGGAGGTAATTAGGTCATGAAGGTGGAGCCCCCATGAATGGGATTAATGCTCTTATAAGAAGAGACTCAAGACACCTTGCTTTAGCTCTCCATGTGCAGATGGAATGACAAGATGGCCATCTGCAAACCTGGAATAGTACCCTCACTGTACACTGGATCTGCTGACACCTTGATCTTAGCCTTTCCAGCCTCTAAAACTGTGAGATACAAATGTTTTGTTGTTTAAGCCCCTCAATCTATGATATTTTTGTTATAATTAAAACAGAAAACAAGTGTTGGCTAGGATGTGAAGAAACTGGAACCCTTGTGCACTGCCGGTAGGAATGTAAAATGGTGCAGCTGCTGTGGAAAACAGTATGGTGATTCCTCAAAAAATTAAATATAGAATTACAATATGATCCAGCAATTCCTCAAAAGAATTGAAAGCAGGGACTCCAAAAGACATTTGTATACCATTATTCATAGCAGCATTATTCACAACAGCCAAAAGGTAGAAACAACCCAAGTGTTCATGGATGGATGCATAAAAATGTGGCATATACATACAATGGAATATTATCTGGCCTTAGAAAAAAGGGAAATTCTGATCTGTGCTACAACATAGATGAACCTTGAAAAGGTTATGCTAAGTGAAATAAGTCAGATACAAAAGGACAAATATTCTATGACTCCACTTATGTGAGATACTTAGAATAGTCATATTCACAGAGACAAAAAGTAGAAAAGAGTGGTTATCAGGGGCTAGTGGGAGTGGGAAATGAAGAGTCATTGTTTAATGGATAGAGTTTCAGTATGAGAAGTTGTTCTGGGGTTGGTTGCACAGCCATGTGAGTGTAATTAATGCCACCCCATTCTACACTTAGAAATAGTTAAAATGGGCCGGACGCGGTGGCTCACGCCTGTAATCCTAGCACTCTGGGAGGCCGAGGTGGGCGGATCGTTCTGAGCTCAGAAGTTCGAGACCAGCCTGAGCAAGAGCGAGACCCCGTCTCTACTAAAAATAGAAAGAAATTGGCCAAACAACTAAAAATAGAAAAAATTAGCCGGGCATGGTGGCGCGTGCCTGTAGACCCAGCTACCTGGGAGGCTGAGGCAGGAGGATCGCTTGAGCCCGGAGTCTGAGGTTGCTGTGAGCTAGGCTGACGCCATGGCACTCGCCCTAGGCAAGAGAGTGAGACTCTGTCTCAAAAAAATAAATAAATAAATAAATAGTTAAAATGGTAAATTCTGTTTTGTATCTTTTACCACAGTAAACAAAAACTATAGATCTCATCTCTATCTACATGAATAAAATTATAGAATTCTCGGGGGCAGGGGCGTTAGGGTCCAGCCCTCTGCAATTAGTATCATTTTTTTAAACACCAGAGGTGATTTTGGAGACAAAAAGGTAGGTTCAAGAGTCACTGGTCAACACAGTATTAAAGATGCAGGTCTAAAAAATCTAAAGCAAATTTAAACCAATTATTCAGCAAAGTCTAAATCTTGCAATTAGAAAACATTGAGGTTACCTGGTCCAACACCTATTGTCAGAAAGGGAAGTCATTTCTATAACATCCTTTACAGATGGGGTCCAATTGCTTTCAGTGATATGACATTCCATCTCTGTGAAATAAACTTTCTTTGCTTGAAAGCATGAATTGTTCTTCCTTACATTAAGCCTAAATCTGCTTTCTTGTATGTTATACTTATTGGACTAATTCTGTCCACTGGAGAAACACAAAATACCACATGACTACTTTTGAATGTTTTAAAAAATGTGTATGCATTTGGTCTTCCCTTTCCTGGTTCCATATATCCATTGCCCTGGAATTCTCTTCACAGGACTTGTTTTCCAGACCCTGCCCCATTTTGGCTGTCTTCTTGCAAAGAGACTCATCTGCCCATGACATGAATCACTTCAAATCCAGTTTTCCTAAAGACTCTGGTGCTTTCAATGAATTAAAGACTGCAAAAAGGTATGAAGTATTTATACACAAGTTTTAATTTCTCTCAATAATCCAAGCAATGGATACTGCAGATAAGTTTTAAAAATTCATTCTATGAAGAATTGCCTTAGCTTTTCAACGTACAATTGTAGTGCATTTGAGCCATACAGCCTGCTATGACTAGGAAAACCAAAACTTTTTACAAAATTATTATTACTATTTTGACATTTGAATACAACAAACTGCATGAAGTTTTTTCCTCACAAGCTGCTTATTACCTAAGTTTTATAATACTTACAAACCAAAGGGTATTTTTGGGTACAAATAAAATAAAAATTAGATATACTTTATTCTACCTACTTAGTATAACATTTATAAATATCAATGGTATATAAACCAAGAAAATGATTGGATAAAAACTTCCAGAATTGGCCGGGCGCGGTGGCTCACGCCTGTAATCCTAGCTCTCTGGGAGGCCGAGGCGGGCGGATTGTTTGAGCTCAGGAGTTCGAA